CATAGGGCGCCCTGGCGGCCGGGGGGGCGCCCGGGGCGGCGGCGGCGGCGGGCGGGGGCAGGCCGGGCTGCGAGTACACGCCGAAGTTGTCACCGCAGTAGAGCGCCATGTCGGCGGCCGTCGGCGGGTGCGGCGCGGCGGCGGCGGCGAGCGGCGAGCGGGGCTGATCTCGCCGCTCCGGCGAGAGCATCCCTTTGGGAGCCAATCCTGCGGCCCCGCTTCGGCCCTCGCTCGGCGCCCGGTAACCGGGCGGGGGTCGGGCGGGTGCGCGCGGAGCGCCTGCGAGCCGGCTTCTTATAACAGTGCGCGGCACGGCTCCTCCCGGGACGGGCCCGGACTGGGCGGCGGCCGGGGCCCGCTGCTCCACGCCCCCGCCACGCCCCACCTGCCCGCGGAGCGCGCCCCGCCCTTGCAGCCCCTCGGGGCTGAGCCGGGGGAGCCCCGAGAGCCTGGGGGAGGCTGGCGCCTCCAGGTTTAGGGAGAAAGAAAAGCGCCGCTTCCTAGCTAAGGTACTCTTAGCATAATAATGAAATAAAAGAACGAATATTAAAACAAAGAGAAGGTAGCCAAAAGAGTACAAATGTTTCCAAGAAGTTGTGAGTTCACTTTGGATGGCCTCTCAGGCCACCTGCCTCGCCCCCTTTGGTTTTTCTACCTCAAGCTTCTACACCTTGTGCGACCGAGTTGCAGGATTCCCGTCCGGTTTTAACTGATCTGCTCCCAGTCCAGCAGAACAGACGTGATCTACACCACTTTGGGTTATACGGTGGAGTATATTCACAGGCATCCTTGGTGGGTCCCCTTCCAAGGAATTCTGTGATCCGAGGGACTGAAATCGGTTTTTAATTTCTCTAACGATGTCTCAAAACGTAACTATTTGTTCGTTCACATTCGGGAAGTTATTTGTTCAGTTTATGTCTCGTCTGTGCATTCTTTGGGTGTGATTTGTTGTCTTCAAAAACAGAAGGGTGAACGTTTTCAAAGAAATTTAAATTAAGTGGGTTCGGAATTAGCATTTTAAAAACAAGTTTAATTTAAACTGTGCAAGAAGCGCTCATTTAAAAAAACGGCCACAACAAATTATGATACTTTTGTTTAAAAAGTACTTTTACAAACTACTTTCTGTTAAGTTTTCAAATGCGGTTCCGGCCTGGGAAAAAAAACGAAACCAGTAAAATCCCGCAACCATACCACATGCCACGCAATCATTATTCATCGGCTCAGAACAACAATAAGAAGATTGTTTCTTTTATAAATTAAAACTATTCCTAAATACCTTCTTAATAAGTGACAAGTCAGAGATTCCCATTTAAGGGAGAGGGGTGAGCAAAAAAGTAATTTTTTTTCTATTTGCTAATTGCAGACTGACAGTTCTGAGTATTTTATCATTTGGAACCCACCCACCTCAAACCCTGCATTTATTTTCATCAGAAAGTTAAGTTATTTACTTTGGCGGAAATTATCATCTTCCGTTATATAACTTATTTAAAAATGAAATCCGGAGACATTTAACTAGCAAATTGGTACCTAAAACGCAAATCACACTTGAAATATAATTATGTTTCTCATCTTTTCTGGAACCAGAAAAGAATTATTTGTCAACTCAAAAGCACGCTGTTTCTTTCAATCTCCTGGCAAATGCTATAGAATGGAATGGCGTTTGCTGTAATTGTATTTTGATTTAAGGACCTAAATGTTTCTTAATTTAGATAAGCACAATGCTTTTTGTTTTCTTCCCTCCCAAATAGCCCAAAACGAAGTTGTTTTGTTTTGTTATTCTCCTGGGATATTAATAAGAATGGCAACTATAATCCCGGAAATTGGAAAGCAATTTTTGATGAGTTACAATGCCCACGTTTAACATTTTTTCCCTTTTATTAAACTTAAAGGTCTTAAACTAAATAGAAAAATATCCAAAAGAAAAGCTGGGAACCTAGATGGCAATAAATTAAGGAAAATTTGAAACCATTTTCCCTTTAGTAATTGATGTCCTTAAGAATATAATGCTTTCCCTTATTTTTTTAGCAATTACTTACCATACATACTTTGCAGTTTTGCAGGTGTTTTTTTTTTTTTAGTCTAATTCTCAACTCAATAGCTCCAAGTTATTCTGGGTGAAAGGCCATAATTACAGATTATTGTTTCTTGCTTTGATGAAAGGTTCTGCCTCGTTGATATATTTTTTACCGTAACTATACACTAGCTTTTGCGACTTTGGTTTTACTTAAAAATGACAGAGCCACCTAGCGGCTCTTTGCCTCTGTTACAGCATCCAGCCGGGTAGGGATCTGTGAGGTGGACACACCCTCTAGGGGTTTGGAAGTTACTTTTCTATTTTCAATCACATCTTAATGAGATAAGCTTAAAATTATTATTGGTCATGGCCTGGATTTTTTAGTGTCAAAACTATAATAAATCACTATTTTAAATCACTATTTTTTAAAAAAAATTAAACAAATTTAAAAAGCAAGTTCCCCATAATAATGTTTTGTCAAATTGCCTTTTCACAGGAAAGATATAATCAAAGCAATTGGTTAATGTTCTATGCCAGAGTAAAATAAGGATAGACTGTTACATGTTTTCATCACTGGAAAATAAACATTTTGGGAAATTATTCAACCCAAAGAAAATGTCTCATTTATTTTACATTAACATTTGGTATAATAATATTCCTGTTGCTTCTTTGAAATGGCTGAGGAACAACAGTGATTTATAATGTAATGCAGTCATGTTTGACAAATACTGTAACAGAATGTAAACTTCATTACACTGATTAACTTATAGGATGATAGAAACATTGGCACT